GGTTTCTAATTCATTGGTCTCTGCTCTAATCTTAATTATTTATCTTCTAATGTGTGGCTTAGGCATCGTTTGTTGCTTTTCTCTAGTTCCTTAAGGTGTAAAGTTAATTGTTGAATTCGGGATTTTTCTATTTTTTGAGTGAGGCTTGGATGGCTATGTATTTCCCCTTTAGGACTGCCTTTGCAGTATCCCATAGGTTTTGGACCAATGTGTTTTCATTCTCATTGGTTTCCATGAATTGTTTAAGTTCTTCTTTGATTTCCTGGTTGACCAAAACATTCTTGAGCAGAGTAGTCTTTAGCTTCCAAGTGTTTGAATTTCTTCCAAATTTTTTCTTGTGATTGAGTTCCAGCTTTAAAGCATTATGGTCTGAGAATATGCAGGGAATAATCTCAATCTTTTGGTATCAGATAAGACCTGATTTGTGACCCAGTATGTGGTCTATTCTGGAGAAATTTCCATGTGTGCTCGAGAAGAATGAGTATTCTGTTGTTGTAGGGTGGAATGTTCTGTATATATCTATGAGGTCCATCTGGTCCAGTGTGTCATTCAAAGCTCTTGTTTCTTTGTTGATTTTCTGCTTAGATGATCTGTCCATTGCTGAGAGTGGAGTATTGAGGTCTCCTACGATTATTATCAATATGATTCTTTATTTTGGTTAACAGTTGGCTTATGTAGATGGCTGCTCCCATGTTGGGGACATAGATATTTACAATTGTTAGATCTTCTTGTTGGATAGACACTTTAAGAATGATATAGTGTCCTTCTGTGTCTCTAACTACAGTCTTTAGCTTAAAATCTAATTTGTCTGATATAAGAATTGCTACCCCAGCTTTCTTTTGAAGTCCGTTGGCATGAAAGATGGATCTCCATCCCTTCACTTTCAGTCTGGATGTATCTTTAGGTTCAAAATGGGTCTCTTATAGACAGCATATGGATGTGTCCTGTCTTTTTATCCAATCTGCAATGCTGTGCCATTTTATGGGAGCATTTAGGCCATTCACATTGAGAGTGATTATTGAAAGATATGAATTTATTGTCATCATGTTGCCTGTGAAGTCCTTGTTTCTTTGGATTGTCCCTGTAAATTTCTGTTCTATATTACTCTTGGGGTCTTTCTCCTTTTATAGAACCCCCTTAATATTTCTTGCAGGGCCGGCTTGGTGGTCACATATTCTTTCAGTGTCTGTTGCTCTTGGAAGCTCTGCATCTCTCCATCCATTCTAAATGACAGCCGTGCTGGATAAAGTATTCTTGGCTGCATGTTCTTCTCATTTAATACCCTGAATATGTTTTGCTAGCCCTTTCTGGCTTGCCAGGTCTCTGTGGATAAGTCTGACATTATTCTGATGTTCCTGCCTCCGTACATAAGGAATCTCTTCCCCCTCACTGCCCTTAAGATGGTTTCCTTCGTTCTAAGATATGCGAGTTTTACTATTACATGCTGGGGCATTGGTCTGTTCTCCTTGATCTTGGCAGGGGTCCTCTCTGCCTCTAGGACAGGAATGTTTGTTTCATTCCCCAGATTAGGGAAGTTCTCAGCTATGATTTGCTCAAATATATCTTCTAGTCCTCTCTTCCTTTCCACCCCCTCAGGGATTCCAATAATTCTGACATTGGAACATTTCATGGTGTCACTATTTGTCTAATTCTGTTTTCATGGATTTTGAGCTGGTTCTCCCAAGCCTCCTCTTTTTCCTTCTTTTCTATCAATTGGTCTTTTAGGTCACTAATTCGTTCTTTTGCTTTGTTTACCCTAGCTGTTAGAGTATCTAGATTATATTGGATCTCATTGATAGCATTTTTAAGTTCTGCCAGTTCAGCTTTCATTTCTGCTCTTAGAGACTCTATATTGCCATTAATTGATTTCTCCATTCTAGGTATCGTCTTCATAGCTGTTACCCTGAAGTCCATTTCTAACATCTTGGTTATATCTGTATCCATTTGTAAATCTGTGGCAGAAGTCACAGTCTCTGAGTCTTTCCTATTTTGGGGGTTCCTCTTCCTAGTCATTTTGTTGAGGGGTTGAAGGAATGTACAGAGTCCAAATTATTGACCACAACCCAAGCAAGATGCACCTGTTTTATAGGGACCTTAGGGTTGTCAATATCTTGTTCTCCCAGCCTGTCTTCTGGGGGAGGGGCCTGCCACGCTGTTACTCAGGCAAACCTGTGTGGGCAGAATTGCCCTGCCCCCTGTGGGGGGGTGATGGGCTCAGTGAAGACCGTTTTTTGCGGGCTTTTGTTCTCTGGCGGCTTTCCCTGGCAACTTTCCGCACCTCTTCTGAAAGTCAGAGCGGAAGAAATTGTTTCCAGCTCTCTGCCTCAGAACAGAGACATCACAGCCTGATCTTCAGTGAGCTCTCCAGACCACACTATCTCCATTTGTATCTGTGCTGCAATAACTGCAGCGTCCTGGGTTGTGCACCCCTCAGCAGGGCTCCCAGTCCTTGCCTCCAGGTCGGGGCATGGGGGCACATGAGCACGTCTCTGCCCTTTGTGCTTCTAAAACCACCAGCCACCCCCAGTTCCCACACGCAGCCCCGCTGCTCCAGGTTTCAGTCTGGGGGGCTGCCCTAAAGTCCTTTCCCTGCTGCTACCGATTTGCGAGTCTGTGCCCTGTCCCCAGCTCAGGAGGCTTTTGCTCACCAGTGGTTCAGGATCCCCACAGCTCCCTCTCACTTCCGTTTATCTTTGGATATCTACCTGTTGAATCAAGGCTTCCAGCTACATACCTTGAATCCAACCACCTGTGATATTCTGTTTGTAGAGATCCAGATATATCTTCTCACATCTCAGGTTGATTTCATGGGTGTTCAGAGTGGTCTGGCAGATATCCAGCTCAATTCTGGGGACCAGTTGGAATAGGGTCCCCTACTCCTCCACCATCTTTTCCCCTTGGAAGAAATAAGTATTTCATCATCTTGGAAATACTTTCTGACTTAGTCATTTTGATGGAAATTCTTTGGTACAAAGTCTGTCTTATATTCCCTAGAAGTATATTTTCCTTCTGTCACTACCTCTACTTCTTGGGGAAAACTATTTCTTTGGGCATTGGTCTTTTCCTTGTAGATTATGGATCCATTGTTAGCTAGAAAGACCATGGAGATAAAGTGCCAGACTCATCACATCAAGTCATGGTATCCACATGACATCAGTAGTGATATTAAATTCGATCATTTAGTTAAGGTACTGTTTGCCAGATTCCTTCCTGTAAAGTTACTAATACTCTCCTTTCCTACTTTGTTCTTTATAATTAAGTCACCAAATCCAGAGCAGACTATTTATAGACTTTCCAATAATTGGAATTATAATGCTTTAGTGAATATCTCTTACATTTCCTTGTGTTGTTTGGTGCTTATCAAAAGTAGTTGAAAAGGAATTGAGAGTTGCTTCACAGGACAGGTACTAAATTGTGTGCTAAAATAGCATACTAGTTTGTGGAAATGCTCTTTATTTTACACTGTAGTTAACCCTAAATATTATCAAAATTTTTTATTTTTAAATTTAATACCTAAACATTTTATTTTCCAAACTAACAGGGGAACATGGAAATGCCATAAGTACCTAATAATGCATTTTCCCATTACTTGTGTGGTATGGATTTACGCGGGATACTTCATTTATGAATTTGTTCATCATATTTGCCTGTTTCTTTCTAATAGGTAATTAGTATTTATCTATTGATTTGCATTATATTATATTCTACCTACTGTTATTTGTCCACTACTTTGGTAAACTTTTTGCTTTGTTCATGAAGGCTTGTATTTTACAAAACATACAGAAAATTGCAAATTTTAGAAGTGTTCATAAAAATGATTCCTGAGAAGGAAGGAATTTTGGTAAAAGGGTTATAGATTTATAGTCCCATATTCAAGACTAACTTTACTGAGGAGAAAAAAATACCAGGCTGCATTCCATTGACATGAGAAATATGCCAATATTTCCTCATGTTCTCATCACAAGTTCAAATGTGGGATCCCTTATAGACAGAACTTACAGGAAGCAGTACAACATGCTAAATGAACATTTGCCTCTTTATATGAGTCCCTGTGAATTAACTATTCATTTTCTATGCTATTTCTGAAAAAGTTTTCTTGAAACATTGCCATGACACTGAAATTTGGCCCTCGTTGTAGTTTATGAGGAAGAACAAGGGTCTGAGTGTTTCAGATACTGCACTTTGAGCAGAGGATGATATTAACAAGCTCTTGTTTCAGGCAAGATGTGAAGAGTGACTAGAGTTTAGAGAAATGATAATGTCTGTCAGATACTTGCATCTAGCCAACTAGGTCAGACTTGAAGAGAAGACTAAGCACCTCTCCTTTGACTTATTAAACTGAGACATATACCACTGCATTTCTTCTACCCCAGCCTGGTTCAAATCTGCAAGTAAAACACATTGCTCAGAATGCAGAGGAGCCTTGGAAACACTGTACTAAGTGAGAGAAACCAAATACAAAAAAACCACACATTATGTGACTCAGTTTGAATGAAGTGTACATTATAGACAAAAATCCATAAAGACTCAAGTTAGTGTTAGGGTTGAGGAGGGAGGGGAACGTGGTCAGCAAGTAAATATTAATGGGTTTTTGTTTTTTGGGGGGGGTGATGGAAATGTCCTGGGATTAAATATTTATGATAGTTGCACAACTCTTTGGATATTACCAAAAACCACTGAATTATGTACTTTAAAGGAATGACTTTAATGGTATGCAAATATTATCTCACTAAACTGTTATTAAAAAATAGGAAAAGGCATTGATTATATTCCAGAAAATGCTCCAAAATAAACAATTTTTATTAAAAGGAAACTTAATAAACAAATTTATAATTCAACATGGTTATACCATCTTATAAACATACAAGACTTCTGTTGTCTTAAGTCACAGTGTTCTCAAAGACCACTATTATCCTGTGGCCTCACATGAAAAGGTTTCGGGACAGGAATTCCCTCAGACAAGGGAATTTGTCAAATAAATGCTCATGAAACTTGATTTTTCAGGGGGCACCAAAGGAAAGGAAAGGCTTCAGAGGGAAAGAGAAGGAGAGAGGAGGGAAACTATATATGAGGGAACCTTTGTAATCATCATAGAAGCTCACAGTTCCATTGTCATAATCCAGAAACACTCCAATCTGACCCAGAGCCTTTTCACATACTGAATTAGGGGTGGGCAGTTGGTGGAGAGACCATAACAATTGTTTATCTTCAAAGAAAACAGAAGAAATGCTTCCACAGGATGAATAATGCCATCATTATCACTGGTCAAGGAGTCTTTACAGACTCCCAGAATCCAATTTGGGGAGCACGTGACATCCACCTCCCAGTAATGCTGACTGTAGGTAAAGACCTGAGGTCTCAGACCTGCAAAGCTCTCAGCACCCTGGGACTCTCTGGATATGCCTTGATGGGCGACTCCACGCATCACACTTCCAGCATCCTTAGAAAGGCACCTGTAGCTACTGGTGGCTTCCTGACTCAGAACATTATCTACTGTAGAGAGAGGCAAAAAAGAGGTCAGCGAATGGGATTTCCGTGTCCTAAGGGACATGGCTCTCTACCCACCAACTACTTTCTTCATTTCCCCTCAGAGGCAATGAAAAACAGAGTAAAGAGAGTTCAGACTGGCTTACCTATGAAGACCAAGAGTTGTCACTGTTTCTATAGCACACAGAAACCCTTCAATCATACAGAAAAAGGAAAAACATCCAGACATATCATGAACTGGGAAGCAGTCATTTAATGTCAATATGGATAAGTTATTTCAGGACACAGCTATTTTTTTTTTCTTACTTTAGAAAACTTCTCTGTGTTGTTTGTCTTTATTACTATTTAGTAAATAGATAGCACTTAGCTATTATGTGGGTGTTTACTGGGATATAACTGGTACTTGTTACATTTTTCAAATGTCAAAAATTTGACAGAAATCCACATATGCCTAGTTTAGAAACTTCTGAAAAGAATGTTCTGGTTTTACATTATCTGTTCAGACCCCAAATTCAGTCAAATCCCAATTTCAGTCCTCTGCTGTCTAGACAGGCTCTCTACTGTGGGCCTGCTATGGTTGAGCCCTGTTCATATACACATCCCTCACCTTTCAGGGTTTTGAGAGTGATCTAATAACATTACAGTTATCCTGCCAATGACAATTTTGGTTTTTCTCTGTCAAAACTTTCTGAGTTTATAAGTAATAAATATTCTTTGTACAATGCATGATAAATGCACTCGAATATAGAACAAATTAAAAACTACCACTGCCATATTTAAACTTTTAGAAGTGGAGTAAACTGAATAAACATACAATATTTTTTGCTATTCTGAGAACTAAATAGTCTCGCTCTTCCTAACCACGTGACCAGCCTGATGATTGCTCTTCTCTTGCTCTGTGTGTCAGATGTAACTAAAAATATGTATCTTGCTTTGCATTTGCAGTAAAGTGTAAGTTGGAAAATTTAGTCTTGATCATTGTAATAAGACTATTCAAAGAGAAAAGGGATAATAACTTTGGAAAGTCATATACTACTTTCATGTCAAAAAATAAATAAAATTAAAAGGGAAGAAGGCTCATTCCGAAGAACCACTAAAGAGATCAAGGACTGATTGCCAAAGGGCTGGCTCTTACCTCTGAAGTTGTTCAGTATATCTAGGATTCCCATGATGTTCTCTGAAGTGAGCTCTGGGTTCAGTGGCTGAGGCTTGTGCATCTGCGCCAATTCAGTCCTGTAAAGAATGATGTCATTTATACTTCTGGGCCAAAGGTCAATCACACAACTGTTATAAAAGTAGCAGCTTTTAATAAAAGAGTTTTCATTAGAATTTTCCCACTTTGGTTAATTTGGTATATGTTATAGTATATGTTGCCTTACCTTTTTTCTAAATTTAAATTATATCAAATTCTAACTTCCCCATTCTTCTCAGATATTATTCCATTTCTAAAATTACTGAGGATCATTCTTTCCCTCTACTCCACCTCAGGTAAAGCAAAGATCCTGGGGGTCTTACAGAGAACAGAAAGTTCAGGCAAAGCCTTTGGGATTTCAGTCTGCAAGTAGTCACTAATGATACATTCGGAGTCTACAAGAGGAAAGCCCACTGAACCAGAAAGCTTTGCTCTTTTCTATCCAGCAAGAGAATCTAATTGTAGCCTAGCAGCCCTGGTCCTGAGGGTCTGACCCCCTGTGGGCACCAGGAAGCCATTCCCTCTGAGGCCTTGCCTACAACAGGATGTGCTATTCTTACTGCTGGGAACAAAATATACCCCCCTTCCATTCTTAGGAAATCTTCCTCTTTCCTGTCTTTTTACATCCAAGGCTCTAGAGTAGGGACCTCTTCTGTGACACCTTAGAAAAATTCCTTTAGTAAGGTTTATTGTGGTGAGGCTGGAGCAGTTGGGTGGGGAGTGGGTGGAAGGTCACATGGTTTTTAAGTATATTTGAATTCAGCCACATAAGAAGAAACCTCCTGAGACCAAGGAGCAGAAAGTCTTCAGGCTTCTTTTAAAACAAATAGAAAGTAGGGGTGCCTGGGTGCCACAGTTGGTTAAGTGTTTGACTCTTGATTTTGGCTCAGGTCATGATCTCAAGGGATCCAGCCCCACGTCAGACTCATGCTCAGCAGGGAGTCTGCTTAAGATTCTCTCTCTCTCCCTCTGACCCTCTCCCTTACTCTCTCTAAAATAATTAAATAAATCTTATTAAAAAAATAGAAAGTAGCCACAGAGGATGACATTAAGAGCTCAAAACATGTACATCCACTTTATCCACAAGAACAAGAGACTTACTCAGTAATCAGAAATCATTAGTTCAAACTCACCTTTGCAATACATTTCCCAAGTCCTGCAAGGAAAAAAAGTAATGTTAATCATGAGAGTTTTGTTCTTTTGCATCTTCTCTAGTATTCTTGTTTGTTTAAATAATGTATTTTTTCTCTTATTGCCCTCTAAGGAACAATCAGAAACTACCTTCATAATAGAACCTACACTAAAGCATGGTAGGCTTCTTTGGGGTGTATTAAAGAAGGAAGGAAGTCAGGAAGTCAGGAAGTCAGGAAGGGGCTGTGTAGTGATGCATTATGATTTAGGTTTCCACTGTCACTCAGCACCCAGTCTTATTCCCAAGAAGAGATCTGACCATTTACAATAACAATGAAAGCAAAACAGTGAACTTAGATATAAAAAAAATTATGGAGTGCATTGAAATTGATTATCAAATTCTACAATTCTTGCCTAAGCAAAGGGCAAAACCTTAGTATCTTCAGCAAGTTACTTCTAGGGCCAGGTGGGGGGGTGGTGGTGGTTGGAGACAGAGAGTGACAATGGATTAAGGCAACATAAATTGAGAATTACCTCAACAAAGTTAATCTTTTTCTGGTTACAGGTTTTTTCTGATTTTGGATAATTTATCTGTGTGGTTAGTACTCCTGATTACACAGTGATAATTTTGTCCTAGGTGAGCTACTAAGAGGGCAAAAATCTCCCAAGAATTACCAGGATATGAGGACATAAATAGTTGGACAGACATAATGATGGAAATCAATGAACAGTATCACTTAGCTGAGAGTAATGGTATATGTGGGTAACAGTTCCATGTCAAGGCAACATTGCCCAAAAAAGGATTCTTGCCTGTGAGGATGGACCCTCCCTTCTCACCTGCAGTAGCTCCACGTCAGGCTTGTGGCACACCTCAGTCAGCTCTCTATACATTTCTTTCAGGCTTTCTTTCTGTTGGGTCATTCTGAGTTCACTTTCCTTGAGTTATTGGACAATCTCCTTTTCTTCTTTCTCCAGTGTCTCCAGATGGAGTTGCTCCTCTTCATGGAGAAATAGATGCATCTTCTGATACTGTGATTTGATCATCACCTGCCTTAAGGCCACATAGTCCTGAAGAGATAGTAGATGCAAAGGGTTACATATCCTCCCTCTCAACAGAGAGTTCTATTTCCTTAGTGTCATCAAGAAAGTACTTGACAAACTTTGTGCCCTACATCTCCACGTGTCTTGAATATTTGTTGGTCCTTTCTGTTCACCCTTTCTCTAGGTTCTTAAGACTCCTTCCTTGTTTGAATCAAGCCCAATTTTTATTCAGTCAAAATGAGTACAGTGTGACAAAAGTCAGGTCAAGTCAGGCCAGGTGGCTTCTCACCCGGCTCCTACCCCAGACCACTCTTCCCATGGGAGAGGGGTTTCCAGGATGAGGGGGCTGCCGAGAGGCCAATGCAGGGACAGAGGGGGCACTGTGTGGGAGTTTTGAGGACCTTTGGCACAGGCCCAGCATTTGGGAGAAGGGGCAGACTGCCCTTTCCTGAGTCCACATGGACACGACTCCAGTCTTCTAGGAAAACACCACAAATTCTATCTTCTTCATCTAATTAACTAAACTTAGTGGGGGTTCCCCACTACACAGGCTCTCTAGCTGTGATACTCCATCAATTATTTCCTTTCTTACTGGAAGCTCTTTTTTTCTCTTGTTCTTTTGCCCGATTTTCCTAAATATTTAAAAATATTTATGTATACATCATATTTTATAGATTTTTAAATTAAATTCTCTAGTTTTCCTCCAGGAGCTACACTATTGCTCTCCTCTCTTTCACCTCAAATTTATTGCGATGTTTTCTTAAACTCAGTGTTTGAGAAGTTTCATCCAAACCTTCAAGGTTGGATTAGGAATACCTTTCATGCCTTAGTTATCCCATATACTAGCATTTTTGCACTAGCTTTTATTGGCCAGTATATTTGTGATTACTGATACATCATTTGAAACAACTACTTTTTCCTGGAAAAAAAATTATCCTTTAGTTCGTAACTTAAATTTAGCTACAAGTCTCAGCATTATGTCAATCTGCATAAAAACAGAATATGTTCATTCTTACCTCAAATGACTGGATTTTGCTCGCTTCTTGATTCAGATCGTTTTGTGTTTCTTGAGTCATGTTCCATAAAGAGCCCATTCTCTTCAGAAGTTTCTCCTGCAAAATAACCATGAGCTTTAGCAAGACAGAAGGTGATATTATAGATTTTACCCCCTTATCTATGGGAAAAGTCACTGGCTGAGAAAACTGCAATCTTGAGTTAGCATGGAGAGATCAGATTTCTCCCCATGAATCTAATTTGATTCTAATATTTGGGATATCAGAGGTGACAAACATAATAGAGATTTGAGGGTACTCTGTAGATAATATAATCTATTTTCTGAGAAATTGGCATTCAGATTTTTATATAATTTGACTGTGAAGACATCAAGCTTGCATCAGAAGCCAGGGATCCCAGTACTAGCCACCTGCCCCACAATGGCATCAACTGCACATATTTGGACAATGTTTCTAAGGACATTTCCCTTCTTAGAGGCTCAACATAGCTATGATTATAGTGTCAACATTGGTCAGCAGCATTGAAAGGATGCATGTACATCTTGGTATTTCTATTGAAAAATCACCACCTCTGCTATCTCCACTCAAGTCAACTTCCTTATCATTTTCCTCATCTTGCTCTCTGATTTAGAAGACTGTAAGATTCCAAATGGCTTTAGAGACATCACTTACCCTGTATTCCTCAGCAGCCCACTGTACTGGACTGTGGCTATGAGCCACGTGCTCTGCTAATTCAGAGCAGGGTGTGCAGAGCAGGTTCTTGTCAACCTCACAGAAGAGCCCCTTCGCTTCTTTGTGCAGCACACAGATCTGCTCCTCGGAGCTGCTGACACGGTAAGCTTGGGCCTGTCTGGCAAGGGAAGCCAGCTTCTTGAGTGTAATATATGTTTTGAAGTCTGACTTCTCTGAAACTCCCCTGCATTCAGGGCAGCACACTGGGGTTTGGGCTTCTTCCCAGCAGAGGCATAGGCAGGGACTGCAAAAGCTGTGCCCACAGTCAGTGGTGACAAGGTCTAAGTAGTGGTTCATACAGATGGAGCAGATGAGTTCATTCTGAAAGGCTTGCAAGGTGTCCACATCCATGTTTCTGTAAGCTTTTAAAAAAGAAGAAAGAGAAAGAAAAGTCACTTTTCTGAGCTGATAAGGAAAAAAAAAGGAGCCTTTAGACAAAAGCTTGTCTGCTTGAACTCTATCTAATTTACCTATTAATTTAGTCCCAGGACAAACGTAGGCATGATAAGTATAAACAGGTTGGGTTTATGCTATGAAACAAGAAAATGGGACAAGAGAGTTCTCTCCATCCTTTTTGTTTCAAATAGTGTTCTCAATCAGAATTAGACTATGTGGACAAGCTTAAAGATTGGGGCAGGGAGTAAAAGTTAGGATGATTCCATAGTAACATTTCTTAGCTGATTGGTCCAGAAGCACATATAGAATCTCAATCTCTCCCATTCTCTCTCTCTGTGTCTCTCTCTCCATGACTCCACAACTGTAACACACACACACACTTCATCTCTATGCTAATAGCCTCCATGCATCCTGTCTCCAAACTGACAGGTGTATTTTTCTAAAGATATATAAAATTGATTAGGTTTAATTTAAACTTGTTTAATTTAATCAGTGTTGACTTCACCTTTGACTCCTGAAACTACAATTAGTTGAATTTATGTTTCTAACTTTAATAACAAAACACTACCTTTCAGGAAATAAAGTATAAAAATTATCTTTTGTTTCTAGTTCAGAAAATAGTTTTTCCCAGAGTCAGTTGAGATCATCTGAACATCTTCACATCTTGAACTGGAGAATGTTCAAGCTACAGTGCTAATCAGCAACAATTAATCATTTTTTTTTAACAAACAAAAAGAGAATAAGCACTGGGATTCCCTTTCTGCACTAGAAAATATGGAGCTACAGTTAAAGGAAGCATGATCGATTCATCTTTATTTTTGGTATTTCCCTATGGTGACAAATGCCACTTCTTGGGAGTCCTTACCAGTTGGTTGGATCTATATTGAACACTTTTCAAGTCTAGTCTGCAAACTGAAGGTTTTAGAGGGACAGCAAATAGGACTTTTACAACAAAGGTTTTCTAATTAATTCAGCACACTAAATTTTTAGGTTGTTGGGTATAAAGACTATTACATGCATACATTATGTCGGATATTTCAGGTGCTTTATGGGTTCCATAATTGCATAAAAACTGCAGAAATCTCAGGGCGCCTGGGTGGCTTAGTCAGTTAAGCCTCCAACTCCTGATTTTGGCTCAGATCATGATCTCAGAGTTGTGGGATCAAGCTCTGCAGTTAGGCTCCAAGCTCAGCACAGGGCCTGCTTGTTCCTTTCTTCTGCTTCTCCCCCTGCTCCCTCTCTCTTTCCTTTCAAATCAATCAATAAATAAAATCTTAAAAAACAAAAAACCTGCCAAATCTCTAGGACCTAAAAAAATTTAGTAACACATAAGGTAATAGAATAAAAAATAATCAATTTAATGTAACAAATATTAGTATTTTAAAAATGCTCTAGTTACAGATATTTTAAATATTGATGCATTTTAAATAACTAGGAAAGCTATTTGTTTGCTTGGACAAGACCCAAGCAGGACAACAGCTAAATTGAAACTATTTGTATAAGAAAAAGTAGGCATGAAGATATTTATTGTAAATTCCATACTCACAGAGTCTACTGAGTAGCCTCACCTGTGAAAGCTCTGGAAGGTCTGGAAGGGCTGTTGATAGCAGGGTCAGCAGGGACTCTTCACTCTCCAAAGCCTGGCAGCTGCAAATTCAGCCAATCTACCCGAGAGAAAAAGTCCTCTCTGGACAAATGTGCTTTTTATATGATTAAGTTCACCTAAGGTCACACCTACTTCTTGAGACTGGCTGTTGTCTTCAAAAAGAAGTGGAAATGGCTGATTAGGTTATATAAAAAGGTTTAAAAATGGATACTTAAGAGTTTATAGCATATAGAGAAAAACATTTGAGGGCTAATGCTCTAATCTGGATTTGTTTTGGGGTATGATGGAAGAAGTTGAACTCACACAAGTTGCTCAAAAAGACATTTTAACTGAAGCAATTACTTCATTAAATGACTATTTTACAAGCTTTGACTTCACAATTTTTAAAATTTGTTTTCTTACTCTACTTTTTATTTTATTTATTTTATTTTTTAAAAAAGATTTTATTTACTTATTTGAGAGAGCGAAAGAGACAGCGAGAAAGCTTGAGTGAGAGGGTGGGGAGAGAGAGAAGAATGCTCCACACTGATCAGGGAGCCTGACGCAGGACTCAATCCCAGGACCCTGGGATCATGACCTGAGCCGAAGGCAGACACTTAACCCATTGAGCCACCCAGGTGCCGTTACTCTACTTTTTAAATTGCTAATTAAGCTCTGGCTAGTGTTTATCTGATTATGTCAAAACAATAACACATTAAATGGAAAAACCAACAAATCTGCACTGTGCAAATTTCTCATAAAAAATTAAAAGTGTGGGATGCATGGGTGGCTCAGTCAGTTAAGTGTCTGACTCTAGATTTCGGCTCCAGTCATGATCTCAGGGTCATGGGATCAGGCCCCTCAGGGCTCCACACTGAGTCTGCTTGGGATTCTCTCTCTCCCTCTTCCTTCACTCCTCCCCCCACTCACACGCACCCCCCTCTCTCTCTAAAATAAATAAATAAAATCTTTAAAAAAATAAAATAAATAAAAATAAAAAGTGCACCTAGGCACTCAATTGGGTTTTAAATAATTGTATATATAACTCTGTTAGTTTTATATAATTGTATATATAAATTTGCTAGTTTTTTTCTTACCTTCAATATTTGATGACTATTTTGTAATGACTGGTTCATATAAAAATAAAATCTCTTTTGCAGACTCTTGTACCTTGGCAAATAATTTTAAACCAAATACTTTACAAACACATATATATACATATACACACATACATATATATGATATATCTCAATGTATGTACTTGTATTAAAATATTATATAATGTGACAATACTTATTTATTCAAAAATTATGTACACAATTATCTTTAATAAAATGCATACAGAAAAATATTTTTTAATTGAGGTATAATTGACATATAACACTATATTAGTTTCAAGTGTTACAACTTGATTTGATATTTATACATATTACAAAATGAATGCCACCATAAGTCTAGCTAACATCCATCACCATACATAGTCATGAAATTATTTAAATTCTAGTTGGTTAACATATACTGTAATATTGGTTTCAGGAGTAGAATTTAGTGATTCATCACGTACATATAATACCCAGTGCTCATCACAAGTGCTCTCCTTAATACTCATCACCATCTAGCCCATCCCCCACCCACCTCTCTCCAGCAACCTTCAGTTTATTCTCTATAGTTAAGAATCTCTTATGGTTTGCTTCCCTGTCACTTTTTTCCTTCCCATATGTTCATCTGTTTTGTTTCTTAAATTCCACCTATGAGTAAAATCATATGGTATTTGTCTTTCTCTGACTGACTTATTTCTCTTAGCATAATACCCTCTAGCTCCATCCATGTCACTGCAAATGGAAAGCTTTCATTCTTTTTAATGGCCGAGTAGTGTCCCATTGTATATTTATAGCACATCTTCTTTATCCATTTCATGATGATTACTTTTAAGATCTCTCTTACCAACTTTTTTCTTTTTTTTTATTATGTTCAGTTAGCCAACATATAGTACTTCATTAGTTTTTGATGTAGTGTTCAATGATTCATTAGTTGCATATAACACCAAGTGACATCACATCATGTGCCCTCCTTAATACCCATAACCCCGTTACCCCATACTCCCACCCACCTCCCTTCTGTAACCCTCAGTTTGTTTCCCCGCAGTCGAGAGTTTCTCATGGTTTGTCTCCCTCTCTGATTTCTTCCAACTCACTTTTCCCTCCCTTCCCCTGTGGTCCTCTGCATTATTCCTTATATTCCACGTATGAGTGAAATCATGTGATAATTGTCATTCTCTGCTTGACTTATTTCAACTACACAATACAGTATTATTAATGATAGTCACCATGCTGTGAATGCTGTAGAAAATTATTTTTAGCAGAAGTGCAGTACTACCTGTGTTTTGTTGACTCCTATCACAATTCAACAAGTCACCACTGCTTACATATTGGTTGTCTCACTAAATTATTTAATGCTTGGGAATTTTGGTTCTATTTTTATAAACGTATAAAAATAATCTAATCTTGCTAGAAATTTAAAAAGTAAAAATCTAAAAAAGTTACCTTTTAAAAATTATCAAATTGAAAAAAGAAAGATAAAAGCCATAAAAGTTAGTATATCCTAGAAAAAGGTAAAGTAGTTGTCCTCTTACAGAATGCATTGGACTGTAAATTAATATAAGCTTCAGAAGCATCATTGGACTAGTGATTATGCTTCAAAATGTATTCAAGGAGATTAAGTATATACTTTGTATATCCTATTAGGGTATATATTAGTAAGGTATATATAGTGTATATAAGGACTTTTCCAAAAATTTTAATTCTGGGAAAATGCCTCAAACATTTCTTAACAGGTTGCATATCATCTACATAAGCATATAGAGGAAGGAGATTTTAGTATTCTCATTTTTCAGTAAAAAATAAATGGTTATGGGGCACCTGGATGGCTCAGTCAGTTAAGGGTCTGCCTTTGGCTCAGGTAATGTTCCCAGGGTCCTAGGATTGAGCCCCCGCATTGGGCTCTCTGCTCAGTGGGGAGCCTGCTTCTCCCTCTCCCTCTGCCTTCCACTCTGCCTACTGTTTTCTCTCTTTCTCTCTCTCTCTGTCAAATAAATAAATAATATCTATTAAAAAATTAACTGGTTATGTGTGCAGGATACCCCCCTATAGTACTGTTCAATTTACAGAGATTTGTCCAACATTTGCTTGTACCATTATTTCCTGGATTTGAGATTTCTTCATATAAAGGTCCTATAAACCATGCTCTGTGCTTTCATCCCAACCTCAGATAATAAATATAGTAATTAGTTGATATCCTTACTAAGTTTTACTGAGTACCATAGCAACTTCTTAATTCCCTCCTGCCAAACCCAGTTTTCAAAGGTAAATTA